GCTGTTGGGCGGCACCGCGGGGCAGTCTGGACGTGCCGCGGTCGACAAGGGAAGCCTTTGTCCACCGCTCCAGTAAACCTCATTTCACGAGGCATACTAGAGCGGTTGACAAAGGCTTCCCTTGTTGACCGCGGCGCATCCAGACTGCCCCACTGTACCGCCAAACAGCTGATTGGCACAGCGCGGCGGCCATTTTGATGAAAATGGGGCGGCACCGCGGGGCAGTCTGGACGTGCCGCGGTCGACAAGGGAAGCCTTTGTCCACCGCTCCAGTAAACCTCATTTCACGAGGCATACTAGAGCGGTTGACAAAGGCTTCCCTTGTTGACCGCGGCGCATCCAGACTGCCCCACTGTACCGCCAAACAGCTGATTGGCACAGCGCGGCGGCCATTTTGATGAAAATGAAACGGCGATTATTTAAATCGCTGCTTCATTTTCCTATGTCTAGTAAACTCATCTACATGGCTCTGTCGACAGAGCCATGTAATCTAGACATACCCCAACTGTCCCTAAAAATATAAAATAAACCCTTTTCCAGGGATGAAACAACTTGGAATCCCTTCCCTGAGGCAAAGCTCTCCCCCTTGCCCCAACCTCCATTTTGCTTGGAATTGGGAAAACAAACAGTGATAATCCGCAGAGAACAACAGGGCTCTGCTTCTCTCGGATAATGTGGTTTCACTTAGGCACGTAGGTTTAAGGACACAAAAATCAACCAACACCGGTTAACCAAAACAAAAAGAAAACACTTTTATTATTAAAACAAAACCACTGTTGTGAGCATAGTAGATGACTGGGTGTTAAAAGCCATAAATAGAAATAGACTCGGATTTTCCCTGGGCTGTAATTCTGAGTTATAAAAGTGGAGAGAAAAACAATTGACTGGCTCAGACATGATTTCCAACCCTCCAAACAAGGAAAACAACAAAACCCGATGGACTCTCTAAACTTTTTCCTACTTACACATTTTAATGAATTCAAGGAGTCCATTCCAGGGAGAGTCCATCTCTCCTGCTCCGTACCTCCCCAGGGAAAACCCCCTTTAACTCAAAACAAAGGAAACACAAATCCCTCTCTCTTTGAAATTCCTTATCTGTATTTCATTGGCTGTGTCTCCAAAATCCCCTCCCTCAGGTGTAGAGCCTCCATTAGCTTAACCCTTTCCTCACTCTCCAGGTAAGCTGAAGTCTCCCTTGCAGCTCCTGTTCATGACCATTTATAACCCCTATGTGCTTCTCCCATAAGGGGCTGCTGTGTGCCCACCCTAGAGCACAGCATTGTGAACAGGCCACTGGACACGGTAGTTAAGGTGCTGCCTTGCCATTGCCGCAGCCCACCAGAGGTGTAGCAGCAGTGCCAGGGCATCTTCATCCAACACCCAAACTCCAGACAAATGCAGCTGGGTCCCGTTGGTTTCTACAGGATTTGTGCTCCTCAGTCACTTAGGCACTTCTGAAACTCCCCGCACGAGGAGCTCTCAGGGCACGTTGTGCCGGGCTTCCAGGCCGACTCGCTTGCAGGGTCGCCTCAGAGCTGGGCACCAACATCCCTCCTTAGGCACCTGCATTAACAATGGCCTGCCCGCTGCTGCCACTGGGAGCTGGGCCCCCTCGGCTCCTCTGAGAATCACGCTCTGCTGCCACTGGCTGGCACAGCTCAGCGGCCCCGCACTGGTGTGTTTGCCCCCTGCAGGCTGAAACACAAATTACAGGCACCGCCAGGAAGATTCTCGCCCTTCCGCGAACACAGCGTCTGGCCCAGCCCAAGAGTCGGAAGAATACCTTGTGCTACGACCGGGGAAGACCCGAGTGCATGATCCGCCCAGTAAGGCTCCTCCCTGCGGCTCCTCCTTGCTGTGGGCTCTCTCTGTGGGCTCTTGCTGCTCTCCCTCGATGACTGAGCCGAGCGCGCACGCGTCCCGTGTGTCCCAAACAGCCTAGGGCGTCACAGCCCGCTGCCTCCTCCCTCCACCACTGGGCTGTGGCTCTGATGCTCCCCTGAGCCTAGCTCGGTCTGGATCCCAGGTGGGGCTGGCACAGGAGTGAACCCGCTGTAGGCAGGCCTGGCTCGCGAGGCTGTGCCAGGCCTGAGCACAAGGCTGACGGCTGGACGGGGGGGGAAGTAAGAGATGGGCAGGCGGGGAGGCACAAGAAGGCCCATGACCGCATAGACCCTCTCCTCCTCCTCCATGCATGTGGGCCCAGAGATGCTGCTCTGGACTTTCCTGCTGTGATCCACGCCTCGGTCACCGCCAGGGAGCCAGGCGGGGTGGCACTGGGTGCTGCCGTCCATCCCTTTGGGAACAGGAGGGTTTGTGAAGTGGCATCTCCCATGGCTGCAGGGTTGGCCCTGGCTGCCCAGTGGCTTCCTAACATCCCGCGCAGCCCCGGGCTCCTTGGGCTTTCACCTGCAGCGGCAGTCTCAGCGCACAACTCGAAGGAAGCTCTTCTCGCAGGTACCCAGCGCCGCCCAGCAAGCCGTAGCAAGCGCTCGCACGCTGGCGTTGGCTAAAGCCAAGGGGGTGTCTCCGGAGTATCTGCCTGTCCGGGACACCGAATGGCTGGTGACCAAGGCAGCCAAGCGGGCAGTAGTGACGCCCAGGATCGAGGTGCTCTCCCAGCCGTGCAAGAGGTACGTGCTCCCCCGCAGGCTGGGGGCAAGGCTGCAAGGCTGCGCAGAGAGCACTTTTCTGTGCCCCGTTCCTGCGTCTCACCCGCGGGGCTCTGGCCAGTGCAGGCAGCACATGGCACTGTGCCAAGCAGAGTGATTTCCTGTAGAACCCACGCGCTGGTTGTGCTGTTACAGCTGCCAGCGCACCCAGCAGTGGTGGAATCTCAGCGCGGGAAGACGTGGCTTGGGACTGTCTCGCGGTGCACACAGGCTGAAAAGCGCTTGTACGGTTCCTGAGCCGGGAGAGCCACGCCGAGTGCCCGGCTGTAGCCCATAGCTAGTAACGGCGCACAGCCCAGACAATGGCAGTGCAGAAGTATGGATGACCTGGGCAGGCATTGCCACCTTTCCTCCTGCACTGCTCTGGCGGGGCGCTGCCTGCAGACCTGGGTGCCTGGCCAGCAGCTGCCGCTCTCTAGCCGCCCACCTCTGAAGGCAGCTCACAAGTAAGGGTTGTAATACCATGATCCTGCCCCTCACCCCTGCCACCACCCAGTTAGGGAAACGCTGGTCTCCCCTGCGGAATCTGAAGAGTACAGGGTAAAAGTGCACAAAAGGGCAGATGTCATGGCCCAGGATGTGCTTTTCACAGCCGTGAATTTGGTAGGGCCCGACCTATTTCAGGGCAGACTGCTAGAAAACGGGGCAGACAGCTCCCCCCAAACTGGAGGTATATTCTACGATTTGATTGCCCTGCGCCAATAACCAAGCTGAATGCCCGGGTCAGTAAATCTGGAGTCAGACAGCCCCTGAGACCTCCAGCCTATCTTGCCACCCAGAGAAACTGAACTTTGTGATAAGAGGTTATAGAAGCCAAACATCACCTCCTGTTAGGTTACTCCTGACCCCTAAGGCTCAGCCACTTCCCCCAAACCAATGGTACCCTGGACCTCCCAGCAAAGACAGTGCTGACAGCCAGTTCTCTAGTAAGCTGGCGAAAGGTTAATTAGCTAAGAAAAAGAACGGAGAGTTACTGAGAGGTTAAAACAGGTAAAACATATGAACGGGCGAGTCAGTTTGTAAGGCCAAATGTTAGTAGTAATCTGCCAGTCTCCAAACTCTTTCAGGGTTACCCAGGGTAATTGTGGGGATCACCGGTAACTCACTCAATATTTCCACCCAGTCCAGAGATGCAAGACTCAGCAGGAAAAGCACTCTGACGCCTGTCTTTATTCCTACCGGATCCCTGCCTTTGAAACAAGCATTTCTTGTTACTGCCAGTATGTCTTCCATTAGCAGTTTCAAGGCTCCATTGATGTTTGAGTTTAGTCCCGGGGTTATGGACACACAGTGTAAAGGTAATGTAACAGCAAACGGCCATCCTCCCTTAGTTTTCAAGGAGCTGAATGGCCGATTAGAATGACTGTCTTTATTCCTACCGGATCCCTGCCTTTGAAACAAGCATTTCTTGTTACTGCCAGTATGTCTTCCATTAGCAGTTTCAAGGCTCCATTGATGTTTGAGTTTAGTCCCGGGGTTATGGACACACAGTGTAAAGGTAATGTAACAGCAAACGGCCATCCTCCCTTAGTTTTCAAGGAGCTGAATGGCCGATTAGAATGACACAAACACAGCTTTGATTACAGGGTGTACATGATGCAGAAGCAATGTCATAGCAGCGGTGGGATATGGAGAGATGAAAACAAATCAACACCTTTTGATAGGAATGTGCAAGTGAATTGCCTTGAGAACCTGGCATGCATGGGTGCCTGGCTGGCTAGCGGCGCAGCCCTAATGATCTCTGGCCTGGACAGCCATGTACTACAAAACGTTCTGTGATATCGTTACCAAAAACATTGGTTTTAGTACTATGGGCCCTCTCAGTGACACCTGCAGTTCAGTCTCAGCTGAGGCCTGGGCGCAGTTCCCCAGTGCTTTCTGCGGATTACAGGGGTGCGCTGTGAGAGTCTCCTGTGAACAGAACTCGGCTGGCTAGTAGCTGTCGATGCAGAACGTGGGCGCCAGTGGTTAACACTGAGGGAGTCTTCTGAAGCCGCTGTCACAGTTCACACTCCTAACCCAGTCTCCTCCTGTGTCCCCCTCTTCCAGGCTCACCACAAACCTGGCCCAGTTTGATCCGGATGCCTTTTTAGTGAAGGAGTCTGCCAAGAAGGCCGTTTGCTCCAGCAGGCTTCAGAAACTAGCCCAGCCTATTGAGCGCTGAGCCCCGGGCGCCTGGGTTCGTTACATCCGGAGACGATCCCTGGCTGTCTTGCCCCTGGCCTCATGATCATTTGTAGCTAGACTCTGGGCCGGGGGAACCTGGCCCAGTTTGATCCGGATGCCTTTTTAGTGAAGGAGTCTGCCAAGAAGGCCGTTTGCTCCAGCAGGCTTCAGAAACTAGCCCAGCCTATTGAGCGCTGAGCCCCGGGCGCCTGGGTTCGTTACATCCGGAGACGATCCCTGGCTGTCTTGCCCCTGGCCTCATGATCATTTGTAGCTAGACTCTGGGCCGGGGGAGTCTTTTAACTAGGCCGTGTCTCTGGCAAGTCTCAAATAAATACTGCAGGAAAAAAAAAGGAGCCGCTGCCGGGGGTCAGATTGCAGGCCAGGCTGCCAGTGCCCTGACCCGACCCCGTGCTGCGCAGCACAGGGAGCCCCTGGGAAGGCAGGTTGGGCTGTGTGCTGTGACCCTTCCCCTGGTGTTTTCCTAGGGAGCTAGCAATCCCACGTGGGTCACGGGCTCCCCAAAGGCCGCGTAGCAGGGCTCAGGGCCCACGTTGCTGAGGAGGGTGGGAAGTGGGGGTTGCAATGCGCACCCCCGGCAGGCGAAGGGAGGGCAGGAGCCGAGGGCTAGCGGGTGGCCCTGGAGAGGCCCAGACGGGACAGAGGCGCACGCACCAGAGGGCCGGCCGGGGAGCCAGCGAGGGAAGCTGTAGACTAGGGGCGAAAGGGGGAGCGGCG